AAAAAAATTAAATTAAGAATATCACAAGAAAAACTGCAGCCCAACATGAGGCCTTGTTTTTGATAATTGAAGAATGTAGAAGTTTGAATTGGTTGTTAAAAGTGCCTAACTAGCAATTGTTAGTGGGTTAACCATGTATCTTAGTTGATAGAACACTCATTTGGTGTATGAGAGGTCTCAGTTTCAAAATTCAGATTGAGGAAATAAAAAATTGAAATTGTTACAAGATAAATTGCTGTCCAACTACTATTTATCCCATGACTCTGAGGGCATGCCTTATTTGGGAGAAGGGAAAAATCTGGTAATTTGAGTTGGTAAAAAAAAAGAAGTCTTACTAGTAAGCAGGAGTGGTTTAACCCTTTAGCTCAGTTGGTAGAGCACTCACCTGGCATGCAAAATGTCTCATGTTCAAATCCATCTGAGTAAATGATAAAAAATAAAATTGAAATTACCACAATAATATTGTATTTTAGAGAGAAAAGTGTTTACTTTCATATTTGTTCTCACTTGTAAATATAGTTAATTTTGAAAATTCGTCAAACTGAAAGGTTTTGCTAATTATCTTAGTCTTTCATAAAAACGATTCCAAAGCTAAGGATTAGTATGTTAAAACATTTAAATGTACATGTAATAAATTGTAGAGGTAGAAATCTATAAAGGTGGTGCTACTTTTGAAGGAAAAAGGAAATGAATGGGAAGTCATACTGTCCCCTCACAAAAGTTTTGTAATTTTCAATGAAAATGGTGGAACTTGGTGGTATCTGAGGCTTTTTTTACACCTTTTAAGTATGTTTTATACATATATGGGTGTAGATTGGGTGTGTGTGTGTGTAATCCACACACCCCTGCCTATGTGTATGCTACTTAAGGTGTATATTTCCAATAAATTAAGCTTCTTACATAGTCTGGTCTATACTTAGCTGTGTAAATTTAGCTCAGCTTTCTAAGATAACTCATTGAAACAAATATTAAATGAAATATATTGAAATAAAACTCCAGTAAACAATTAGCTAAGATTCATGTAACTATGGTAAATCATTTAACATTAAATCTAAATGCCCTGCATAAGCTCAGTCATAGCTCATTGGCTCCTGATATGAGACTAGAATACAATAAGTTATAGATCTCCCCAAAGTACTATTAAACTTGTCTAACATTATCTACAATTTACACCAGGTGTCTGACTAAAGTCTCTTTATACTGACAAAATTTCCTAATGATGTTTAGGCTCCACAAATGATGAAAAAAGTTTTCTAAGTGTGGTCCAAAAGATACTGACATTTTTCCATAACATGGATTTAAAACAAGTAGGGAACACATACTCGTACATTACATATAGTATTTGTGTGTTTGATAAAGTGTTCAGTGTCATATGAATTGACAACATTTTTTAAATTAACTTCTTCTGAGATATGTTGGATAACATAAATGAACTTGCAGAGTTATTTTGATAGCTGTTTTAAAGGACAGGTGTTTAGGTTGAACTTTAATAAAGGCTTTTGATTCAGCTCTTTATAAAATGTCAAGGAAAGGTAAAAAAATAATTAATTCTTATAAACTCATTCAAAGTTGTATTTATTGGTGCTACCTCTACTTGATTTATTCTATTCTGCATTGAGAAAAATCTAAACCTTACAGAAGACTTTTTTGTACTGCAAGTAGATGTTTCCATAAGTTACAATATAAATGGGGAATTATATGATTGTAATAATAAGTAGGCAAACAATGATTTATAAACATAATGGAAGAATTTTGGTGATGGTGAAGCATACTACATGTTTTGACAAAACATTGGTCCATCTTCTTCGGGTATAATCAGTGCTAAGTAAACAAGGTTTATATTTTGTCAAGTGTATTAATGGTGAACAGACCTTGCCAAATAATACTGATGTTGTAAATGATCTCTCACTAAACCATGATAATGGCCCTTGCAACATCAGCTGTATTTGGCAAGGTCTATTCACCATTCATACACTTGACCTCTACCTATATCCTGTCATTTGCTGACACCATTTCCTTCACATTTAATCCCTGTGCATTTTGTCTTTGTAACTATATACAAACCTTGTGTTGCTTAGCACAGACCATACCTAAAAAAGTTAGTCCAATGTTCTGTCAAAACATGTAGTATGTTCCACCATCAATAAAATTCTTCCCTGTTCTTATAAATCGTTATTTGCCTACCTATTATTATATTAGCATAATGTGCATCCTTACTGAAGTATGTGATTGTATTGAGAACACATGTTATTAACTAGTGAAAACCATTGAACTAGAAGTTCTATTCATTATTCATGACATTTAAGAAACATGTATTAGTGAAAAGTTCTTAATACAGTAAGCAACAGTATCTGAAAGTTCAAACTGAAAACAACAATGCTTAGTTTTATTTAAAAGGAGCAACTTGAAACTGTCCCTTTTAGGTATCTCATTGATTTTACTTTCAAATGTAAGGAATCAAAATTGTATGTAAATCATAAAATGTTTCTGTACAGTATTATAATCATATATGCTGATTCAGGTATATTATTTGCCACTCTAATGCTGATCCTGTGTTTTAAAATTATGTTACTGTAGATTGGTGTTATAATTATTTGAGGTTTTTAAAAACTTATTTAAGAGGAAAAGAAGTAATATTTATTACTTTTTATAAGGCTTTTGTTAGGTCTCACTTAGAATATTGTACTTAACATTGTTTTTTTCTTATTCTATGAAAATATTCAAATGTTGAAAAGAGTGCAGAGAAAGACTTCTCACATTACTTTAAGTTGTATGTATAGACTGAAACACCAGAAAGAAAAGAATGAGCCAAGAAGTGCTTTTGTAATTATAATGACTTTTAAATAGACAAACAAAACTAGAAAATTTTAGAGAATAAACATGCCTTGTTGCTTTTCAAGATTGCTTTTCACCCTTCTCACTCAAGTTGTAAACAAGGAATTGTACAAGTAGTCTCTACACTAAAACAATTTACTACGTCAATCCAAAGAAGTCAAACATATTTCGAACATGTATTATTTCTAAAAATAAGCTGATTGCTCAATAATTTAGTGAATTTTTAATTAATTAATTTTACATTTTCAATTTCTTATTTTCCATCGATTGTTCATTAAATTCCATCTACTACACAGCACAAGAACTTGTATTTGATACATTTGCTTTTAGAATCTACCTTTCATTTTTAAAGGAATCTCAATAGTATAGTTCAAGAAAAATTAATTTACTTTTATTCTGTATTAAACTAAATTGAGCACTTACTACAGTGTATATTTTAATACTTATACGTTATTGAATATTGTTCTTTACTAAAACAACTTTATCATATAAAAATGATTTAATTATATTTTTAACTTGACTCTGTATCAAAAAACAAAAAAAGCTGATATTGGTTAAGAAGAGGAATTTTTTTGCAAGAGGGCTGAAATTATTTTTATAATATGGGACTGTTTAAGTCTTGGAGGAAAGTGAAGTGTCAGTCTGTTTGAGATAATGAGTGGGAAAAAGAAGTCCAAAATGTAGGATTTTTTGGACGTGTATGAACTTATGATTTTGTTGTTCTTTAACCAGAATAATAAGAGCTCAATGTCAGGTCAATATCACACTTCTCCATTGTTTAACTGCATGTTAAGTAATATATTTTTCATCATTAAAAACAAAAAATAAATATTCTGGAAATATATTTGACCCCCTCTCTCCTATCAAATTTAAGTATTTTTCATTTTATTTTTAAAGATTTTACCACTACAGTCTGCATGCATTTCTCAGTAATGAGATAGCTATACATTTATATCAGCTGTCTTTGATTGTATAAAGTTTCCTAAACATATGTGTACTTTTATACTAGAGAGGTTAAAAATTTATTCCATGCTCTATGGAAGTCAGTGCTCAATCTTTGAGGTTGCTACCAAATTCTTAAAAAAGACTGGTTATATGTTAGAACCAAAATAAGGAAGGCTTTAATGTATCAGCACATTTCAGTTGAGTTGCAGCTACAAACATTTATATGTATATCATGTTTAGTACAAGCTAAAATGTTTTGCTACTCAGGGAAAAAAAAGAAAGACGAAAACATCAATGGAGTTTTATTTTTAACATTATTGTTAGATAAAACAAATTTATCTGACTAAAAACCCAAAGATACAATGTTTTAAAGCATTTTTTTCAAATACAAATACTTGCATATTTATGAAGCATAATGTCCTTTAATTACTGAAATAATGATGTTCAAAATTATATTTTTAAGATTTTTCTTAATGTGACTAAATACTCGATTAGTACTAATTTCTTGGCATAGTTTCTTATACTTTTACACCCATGTTTAATTACAGTTTTATTTCTAAGCATATTTAATCACAAGGCTAAAAAAAATTCATATTTGGTAACTTATATTACAACACAAATCATGATTAAATTGCAGAATGTTGGATTAATTCTTGTTTCTGTGGGACAAATAAGAAAGAAATCTGACAATGAAGAAATTATATTCAGTTGTAGAAAAAAAACCTGAGAATGAAATTACCTGGCTGTTCAGTCAACTTCTCAACATTAGGAAGAATTGCATTATAAAAATATATAAAATACATTTAGCTCTGTATTTATTTTGTTGACTGTATATACATTTATGAATGACTAAATAAATTTCTAGTATCATTGTTTACTAAATCAAAGGCATTCCTTGATTTATATGTATTTTTGTATACGAGTGAATGGTATTCTTTGATATTGTATCATTACATTTTCATTGAGTTGTAATACAGGCTATACTTTCTTTGCTCTTGATTACTTTTTGGGCTGTATGGTAATTATATTCATTGGTTTTACAGCTGCTAGGATGTCACTGATTATTCAAAATGGTGTTGTTGTTATATGTGCTACTATTTTATGCCTGGTCTTGATCTTTGAGGAAAATCAAGTGCAAGCATTGAAGAGATGGTTTGAGGTCATCTGTCAAATGATTGTAGTTGTGCTTGCTGTTATTACAAGATTGTCTAGCATGGCCACAGCTATCTGTATTGAAAAAGATTGGCCTGTTGTAATAGCAGCTGGGAGAAAGGATAACCTTGCAGGTAAGAGATTAGTAGTACCTGCAATAACACAAAATGAAAAACAATTGAGGTGGAAAGGTATATAAAAAATACCGTCAGATATAAGAGATGAGCAAAAAATTAAACTAAAAGATCTGTAGTCTAATGTATTTTGTATCACAAATATTAATTAAATTGTGTTACAGTAGTTTACTAGCTCTGGGTGTGTTCTAAACTCTAACTTTGAAGTTTTAGTTCTGCATATGTATATTTATGTGGTGCTAAAACTTTATATATAGTGTTTTAGATAAACAGTAGGCTCATTATCCTACAGAGCTGACAGGTTCTGGTATTGAAAAAACAAAGGACTGGGTGATGACCTGTGGGAGACTGAAAATAGATTTGAAATGCTATTGTTTATACATCTAATTCTTAGTCCATAGTGGACAAATTAATTGGAAACCCAAGAATAAAATGTGTAGAGTAACATTATCTTTATTCCAAAGTTTAGAGGTTTGTTGAGAGACAGTTGAGATTAGAAGAAGGTAAACATATAATGCAATGAAGAATGTGTTTGTGTTGCAAACAGAAAAATAAAAGTAAAGTAAAATTATGTATTTGACTTCTTTGGGATCAATCCAGTTTTTCACTCTCTTACCAAGTTACAATTTTTTTACCTGATAAATTCAGATTTTAGTCATTCATTCTAAATATATTTGGAAACATTGTTTCTTAAAACTTTGGAAAAGGTGTAAAAAAATAAAATCTCTTCCATTTATTCTGATACAGTCTTACATCCTCACACACAAAGCTATCTCAATCTTCTTCTGAGCATTCCTAAAACAATTTCACAATCAATGCACCAGTCTATGTACCTCATACATTTTGCACCATATATGAACATGTACATATCATGTGACTACTCTCCACCAATAGTATTGTGCCACCTATATTGGTTCAGCTAGCTCACTTTGCTATTATTGCTAAATCTTTGCTTTCTCGATTGGCACTGTATTGTTTAGACATGTGTTTTTTTTTCATGTGGCTACCATTTATGAATGTGCTTCTTTGTCATTTCAATTTTTTTTACTGTGTTTGCATTTATTTCTTGTTACCAAATTATAAGTGATCTTAATATGAATTTGAGATCAATGTTTCAACTACGGAAATTCCCGTTGTAGTCAAAAATGTTACTGGTACATCTTCCCAGGATTTGGGTTCAACTTTATCTGCAGAGGAGGTACAAGCCTTAATTCACAGGGAGATAGATTTATATGTTTGGCCAATGATTTCTTCTTCTTTTCAATGTGACAATCTTTCCAAGGAAGAATACAATCAATGGGAAGACAATTTGGACTATTTTGTTTTCAGGAACCTTCTTATTTTGGTCTGTCTCACTCTACACCTCTTTAGGAGTTTTCACCTTCCACCAGTTACCTTGCCACAACATCATTCATGTTGGTGGAGAATTATTCTTCTCCTCCTTTCTTTGTATTGCTTCTAGTTCTCCCAAGGAACCTGTACACTTCACACCTGGTTGATATACCCATGGTAGACGCAGTTCAGATGCCCTTTGTGTGGCTTTGTCCTTAATTACACACAGGAGAGTTAAGTATTTCACGTCATCAGTGTTCGGTCTTTGATAAGTCAGATATTTATGTGTCTTTTGTCATCTGAGTTACATTAGATGAATTGTAAGCTATATATTGATTATTACTTTTTCTTTTTTTAGGAAAATTTAATTGTTTTGTACTTTATAGACTTGGCAAGTTTCGTGGGTTAGTTCCTTATTAATAAATACTTTAACTAGGCATGTTTCAGTAGTTTGTAAGTTACATATCATTACTATTGGTAATATGTAATTCATTGTTCTATCTGATTAATTGTTTTTGTCATTGTTAACTATGTGCCTTATCGTCCTAATTTTCATAAGTGTAGGACTTAATTATGTGTCTTTTGTTATGTAGGTTACTATAGATGAATTGTAAGTGTGATTTATATTATTAATGTGTTTTTTAGGTGATATTATTCACTTTCTACATTTGTTATTATTACATACTTTGTGGACTAGGTAAATTTAGATGGTTTGTCCATATGATATTTGTAAGTACTTTGTTCTACCTGAATAATTTTTTTTTCATCATTGTTCATAATGTGCCTTATCATTGTAATTTTTGTCAGTGTAGGACTTAAATTTTTGTTTTGCTTGGTTCCATTGCTAATGCATTCATTTCTTTCCTGTTTGCAGGGCTAAGTTTTGCTTTGGCTCCTTTTTCTACGTTCATGATTCCAGAAACCTCATTTTTTCCTCGTAATCTAGAATTCACTGTTCTTCCCCACAGTGGTCAAATAGCTGATAGTTATTTATTGCTCTAAATCGAGTTTTCCAGTTTGGGGCTCTACCGTTTGGACTAACCTACATTCTTTAATTGTTTTGTTGAGGGGGGGGATTATAATCTCTTGCTCGACATCTTCTCTCTATGAGTCTTTGTACTCTTCTTTCTATGGATAACTGGCTTCTGCTTGCTTCTTCCTTTTCACATCTCAGAGACCACACTCATCTGCTTCTAAAAGAAGCAGCAGGGGTGGGATTCCTGATGACAGTGGGGAAGTCCATTCTTACCCCCACTCAATACCCCATTCATTCAGGGGGTTACTTCATTCCAACCTTAGTTGGGCCCAGCCTTCTCTTCATCTTAGGGTTTGGAGCAAGTAGTTCACAAGTCCCTCACCTCACATTTCTTACTGCTTGAGATGTTCTATCTCTTTGGGGATGTGGGCTTCCTTGGAAGCTCTCATACTCATGGGTCAGGCTCATATGCATTCACTGTGGTGGACACTCCTATATCAGTGGAACTTCTTCTTGGATCCCTTGAACCACCCTTGAACCACCCTTTTACCCTTCCTTCACCAATCAGAGCTGACCTGGCTGGGTGGTTAGACAGAGACCAGACCATAGTGTGGGTGCCGCTTACTCCACCTTGTCTGAATTTACATCTATTCACTGACTCATCTTTAGAGGGTTGTAGTTCTTACCTTAACTCCTGGGAGATTTCCGGTTTCTGGTCGATCAGGGATTCTTTTCTCCATATTTCCATTCACAAGCCTTTAGCAGTTCATCGAGCTTTGTCCCACTTCCTTTCTCTCTTCACCCTTCTTCCCCACTGCTGGTGTTCTTCTTTTGGAGTCTGCCAATTCTTGAAAGCGAAGATTGAGTGGAAATAGCAGAGGGAGCTAGCTGCACTAATATAGTTGGTGCAGTAGTATTGGCGAAGAGTAGTCATGTGATATTTACATGTTCAGAAATGGTGTGAAATTAATGGGGTATATAGACCGGTGCACTGATTGGGAAGGGTTCAGAGGAGGGCTACTAGGATGATTTCATAGATGGACAGTTTATCCTAATTAAGATCCCATACTCTTGAGGAAAGCAGGGTATGAGGTTATCTTACTGAAGTTTACAAGCTTTTCTAGGAGATCAATAGAATATAAGACTCTGATTTCTTTGTTTTCTATTTTAAAGGTAATAAGACAAGAGGACACAAGTTTAAGAAGTGGATAATATAGACTATAGGATACAGTAAAGATATTTGTAGTTTTCTGACAGGCTTATTGAATGAGTTGCCATTGAAAGTAGTGGTGGTTGGCACTGTACAAGTGTTTATGAGTGGAACTGATTTCCTGAAAAATAAAGGGTGGGTTAACATTTCCTTTCTGTAAGAACAGTCGTGAAGAACCACACAGTCCCTTGGTGTCCGTATGTTATGGAATAACAACTTAAACCAACATGTACCATTCTGTACTCCTTAGCAGGGTGTCGTTTGTATCAATGAGCTCTATCTGAGCTTGAACTTAGACTAGAAAATACTGTCTTAGTTTCTAAGTTTAGCAGTACAGGACTTGTATAATCTAAATATGTTAGTAAGATATGTGACATACGATAAGTATCAATAAACATATGTACTTTCTAGGCTTTTTTGTTTGCTACCATACTTGTTACTTGAGAAATATTTTGTGTAAAACATGTTTCTAATGAATACAGTATACATATACTGCATATATATCAATGTATGGTATTTTGTTTAGAAATAAATGCAGCTACAAGACGTATAGACCTAGTGTCAAAGCTGTTGGCTCCTTTAGTTGTGGGTCAGGTGATGACCATTTCCATGGTGACAGCAGCAATCTTCCTGGCCCTGTGGAACATTCTATCTGTTGCTGTGGAATACTGGTTACTTTGGCTGATTTACCAAGGATGTCCACAGTTAGCTTTAAAAAGGAACAAGCGTCAGGAGAAAAAAGGTATGTTGTAAGCTACCAGACTAGTTTCTTATTGTTTATAACAGAATTTTTAATATTCATAAATGAGATTGAATGAAGAACTAATCTAGCTGTAACTTTAAAAACATTTATTCAGATAGACATGGAAGACTTGAAGATGAGATTAAAATGTAAGATACACATGAACTACAAGAACCACTATTATATGCATTTTGAGCCTCTGTACATGAGGTCTCAACAGTCTTTAATTAATTTTCTATGGAAATTGTTTAGGTAAAGCTTTTCTTTCTTGTTCAATTTAGAACAGCAAATTCATTTAAATTTGGAATAAAAACTACATTTAAAACAATTCTAAAATTTAAATACATGTATGCTGTTAGATTGTTGATTTAAATACTAAAACCTTCTTTACTGTTAAAAGTTGTGTACTTGAGAATGATTGAACCATTGATTGGAATATTGAACCTGATCTAAAAAATAATTTTCCTTTCTATAAAGGCTGTAACTTGTAATAAAATCTACATTTAAAACAGTAGTAGAAGTATAACCTTAGGGTGTGAAAATACTTGACCAACTAGGCTCAAGTGTACTGTGATTTTATCAGTACTGCATACAGTTTTTTTCTGGTTTTTTAACATATTAACTGGTAAAGTTGCTAGTGACATTTTGTGATGTATTGTAGCTTTTTACTGTGTTTCTGTACTAATATACTAATATTGCTAGGTCATTTTAATATATGGTCTAAATATTGACAAAAGTACAATAAAATATATTTAAATGTATAGATGATGTAAACTATGATAAAAGCAATTGATCGGAAGAAAATTTCTCCAGAGCTTTAACGTTTATTTGCATCCCTGTATAATATTGATTCATTATATAATTTTATGTACCACGAAAATATTCAGTGGATATTTTGGCTTACACATTATCACTGTTAGTCTGTTATGTACTTCTTAGAAAAGATGGCTAAAGATAATTAGTTTAATCCAAATGTTTCCATTTCATGAGCCTATTGATTACCATTTTAAAGAAATGTTACTTTGAATATAGTTTTACACCATATCTAACAGTTTTTTTGTTTACTTGCCTTTCATTTCACAAAGTTGCTGATGAAAGGTTATACTCTTATAAAACTGTTTGAACTCATTGGCATGGAATATTATGGAAAATCCACTAACATCATGTTGTACTTCAAGAATTTTATACAATATTGGTGAAGACATATTTTAGATATTAATTCCTGTTCTGGTAGACATGGATTCCGAAGCTGATGAACCAACAGTTATGAAATCCACCTCTAGGAGACGTTGCCCCTCTTGTATTAGGTATTTCCATGGGTGGCAAACATATTTCCAACAAGAAGTGTTTCCTGCAGGAATTGGATTGGCCCTACTGTATATGACAGTCTTGGGATTTGATAGCATTACTGTTGGTAAGTACATGTACAGTAAAGTGTTAGTTTTATATCAAAACCAGGTATTAACCTGAATGATAATTAAGATTATACTAGATAACCACTATAATTATCAGACTGTTATTTTATTCATTACATTTTTGATTAAGATACAGTGAACTTTGAAAGAGTATTTTCAATGATCATATCTATGCGTGTGTATCTCTAACATTCTATAACATTTAAGGAAAATAAGTGGGTCTGTTGGTTTTTTGAGCTGTCTCATCCATTTAAACAAAAAAAGAACAATTTAAAAAATTATCGAATCTTCTCATAAAATTACTGCATCTACCACATCTGAAACAAACCATTCCAAAAGCCAACCACCTTGTTAACAAAGTAAAGCTGTCTAAGGTGAAGATGACTCCTATCTGGCAAAAATTTATATTTGTTTCCTGTTGACTTACCATTCTCACCAATAAATGGACAAAGATGATACATCAGTATTATCAATTCCCTTAATAATCTTGAACACCTCAATTAGATCCTATTTATTATTTTTTTTCAAGGGAAAGACAATTTGAAAGATCTTAACCTGGCCTTGAACGACAACCTTTCCATCCCAGGTATCATTCTAGTAGCTCTCCTTTGAAACTTTTCCAATAATTCAATGACCTTATTTAGGTAAAGAGCCTAAGAATGAACAAAATACTCCAACTGAGGCTTAAGTAATGATCTATACAATAAAATTATAACCTGTTTAGACTTGTATTTAATATTTCTGTAAGTATAACTCCAACTCCTACTTCCCTACCACTAGCAACAGCACACTGTTTAGATGGCTTAACAGACTGATCAAACAGAGCACCATAATCTTTTTCTTCCATAATACTATTAAGGTTATTCCCATCAAATGTACTTATAGTTCAAATTGATGATATCCTACATGCATTGCCTTGCATTTATTATAACTAAAAGCCTTCTACTGTTTATTTGTCTTACTCTTTTTGTGAAGCAGCAGCATGCTCATAGCCAGCAACATCCAAGGGCTTAATATCATTAGCAAGTATAAGAGCAATTTATGTACCATTTCTTTATATATGTTATTGATGTAAATCAAGCAAAAAAGAAAAAAAAAGGTCCCACTGAGCCCTCAGGTATCCCACTTGTGATATTAATTCAGTAGTTGTGTATCTATATATTTTAAAATATGTTTGAATAATGCATCAAAAAATCATCCTAATAGTTAGTGTCTTCAGATAGCTGTCTACTCCAGAGGATGTTTTGTTGCTGCTTGTTGGGCACCTTCAGGAAAATTTGATTTTTGGGGAGAGAGTGTAGTATGTCAAATGTATATATCAACATTTGCTTTATGCAGAACGCTTCTTTACTTAACATGCCAGAGTTGTGAAAACATTATATCTTTAAGGTAAAGGTGGCTAATAGTTTGTCGTAGTGCTTGGTTCTAGACAAGTAACCTTTGAAACTTAATATTTGATATCACTAAATCTTTAGATGGAAGCATTTTTAATGTGTATATATTTTTTATCAAATATATTTTTTTTCAGACTTCACAGGGACTTCATTAATTAAAAGTGAAACACCTAAGACAAACACAGTGTGACATTGTGAACATATAGTTTATTGTTGTGTTGTATGTTATTAATATCCTCTATTGTTTATTCACAAACTATCTTGATCATAAATATTCACCACTCACAAAAAGCATTTATTAAGTTACTGTAAATGTTTTGATTTCTTTTTCTTTTCTTTTGATGGTTTTGTAAGTTATTCCTGTATCTTATATGTGAAGGAACTCTCATTAGCTCAGCCACTGAAAGTGATGGAGGTTATATTTTCAGCCTTGTGTGTGTGTGTGTTTGTTTGTGTGTGTATATGTTTGTGTGTTTGTGAGCAGAATTTCTTGAAAATGTCTGAATGGATTTGGACAAAAGTTGGTATATATTTGGACTATGACCCATCTTAGAAGTGATTAGCTTTTGGAGGGTCAAAGGTCAAGGTCACATCAAAAATCCTATCTGTTAACATGGGGACTGATTTTTCACACTATTTTGGCTCTGTAACTCAGTCAAAAATTATTGGATTTTGGTGAAACTTGGTGGAAATATGTAGAATATTATTACTCCTTTTCTGTGTCTGTTGGTAAAGATGAACATATGAACATAGTCTCATATTTTTTGAGAGCCAAATATGATTAATGTTACATGGTAGAGGCATGCACTCTACTGAGTGCCCTTCTAGTGTTTTATGTGTTTTTGTATGTTTTTAATCAGTTAAATTTACTGTAAATGAGCTGTTACAGGCAAATAATTATTAAAATAATAGATATTCCCTTTTAGAAGATTTAATGACTTCTCTGTAAATAGAATGTAATTGCTTTTGGTAATAATAATAAGATATAAATATAAGAAACATATCTTGTAGTCAGGTGCTATCCAAAGGTCAAAGTGATGTTACAGAATATATACATTTTTTCTGTACGTGTATTTTTTGTGAATTATGTAAGTAAAGTTTTTCATAATAAAAAATTAGTATATAAGCTTTTTTTGTACATGAAATCTCAACATTTATCTTTTTTTTTTCACAATTAAAATATTTCATTTTTGGCTGTCACATACTATAAGTCAAGAGTAAATATAGTCACTTAAGCTTAGTTATCCATGTGAATAAAAAAAAGGTGAAATTTTCAATTTGAGATACCTACTGAGGAGATATTTAGTATATTTGATATAAAATGTTCCACACGAAAGAGTTGCAGATTGAAGAATAATCAGTTATGTACCAAAGATACATATTTGTAAGTGGAATAAGTTGTTATGCAGATGAAAATTTCTGAAAGATAATCAAATGCTATGTTGTTTTGTTAATAGCCCATAGAAATTTGAGTGAAGTAAATTGAATTAAGAAACAACCATGATTTATGACACATACTTTTGACATTGCCAGACTTTGAATTATACTGTGTTAGGAGTGTCCTTAATAAGAACCATCAGCTTGTTTAAAAATATTTTTCCTTGAGTAATGTTTTTGTTTAAGTCATTGTAATAAAGAATTATGATATGTGAGAGAAGTGTAGTATTAAACATTAGTGGTGGAACACATTTAAAGAATCAGTGTAGATTTTTTTCTTTTTGATTTTCAGGGTATGTTTATACACAGGGGGTGTCAGAAGGAATGATGGGAGGAATGAGTGGTTTGACTGGGCTTGTGGGTGTACTTGGAACATTATGCTATCCTCAACTTCGCAACAGGATTGGCCTGGAGAGGACAGGGCTGTTTGGATATTTTCTAGAAGTGACTTGTCTGATATTTTGTGTAGCATCAGTATGGGCACCAGGTAGTCCATTTGATCCATTCTTCACTGGACATCCTAAAGAGAGAGTCAGTGACCTACATGAGAAGTTAAACCTTACTCATACACAGCTGATTGTTTTCAACAGTTCTGGAGAAATGAGTTCTGTGGCCATCTGGGAAACAACTACTGGTCAACCTGAAAATTCTTCATTCATTGCAACTGCTGGTGTAAAGCTAGAGAGCTCCAGCCATCAGGAATATACAGCTGTTGCACTCTTTCTTACTGGAATTATAAGTGCAAGATTTGGTAAGTATTAATGTTTGTTATTCAAATACTACACATAGTGTAAGATATGATTAAAACTTGCTGTAAACATTCTTCACACAAAACTAAACTTATTGTAATGAAATTTTCAGTAGGAAAAACCAATAGACATCCATGAAAGATTGTAACAGTTTAATTCAAACAAATAATTTAGACCATTTTTCATACTGTGTTAGCAATTTCAGTGATTTTTATGCAACACTTTGCAAGTCCCATGGAATACTGCAATGTAGTTTAAGATGGCAAATTTGGATTTTGGAATTTTTCTGTAAATAATAGTTATTTTACAAATGATCTATTGAATTTGTCATGATGTACTTTTTTAAGTGTTGATTGACATGTAAGCTGTTAAATGGATTCTGATGAAAAAGTAAAACATTCTTCCTCAAATTTATTTGTTTTGGTTAAGTTACCATATTTTTCTGACTATTTCATCTGTATTGCAGTTTGCATTTTATTGCTTTTCAGTGTTTAATGATTAAGTTATTTTGTCAATTTCCTGTCTTTGCAAGAGGAAGAACAGGTTCGTCAATGTGATATATTTCTTAGCTAATGTAGTGGAATAAAAATAAAAGTTTTTCTCATTTTTCTTCCATTAGGACTAATTATAAAGAATGTTATTATAATTTAACTAGCTTTTCAACCTGATGCTTAAACATTAGACACTGATGTTGCAATATAGATTCTAGGCAACTCATCAGGGTACGTTCTTTCAGTTATGTTGCACTTGAGAAAAAGTAGTTTTAAAGATAGAAGAATCAGTCGAGAGAGTTCACATCAACTTGTATACAAATGTTCACTGTTAAGGTGTATATTGTGTATGTTGCTAAAAACTTGTACTTCTCAGAGAACATTTTTTTACTATTTGATGTGAACTCTTTCAACTGATTCTGATTCTATTTTTAATGATTTGTTTTATTTGTAAATTATTGACTTGATGGTTCACTGTGTACAGTGAATTATCTTAATATGATTTTAAAACCATGAATTTGATGATTCTTTGTCAAAGGTTTGTGGACTGCTGATTTTAAATGTATGGTATTATTTCCATTTTTTTTTGTGAAAATTTGCCTTGAGAGTGTTTCATGGACTTCATAATCTATTTTATGATAGGCTTGTGGATTGCTGACCTGACTGTGAACCAAATTTTCCAGGAACTGGTAGAAGAGACAGAGCTGGGGGTCATCAATGGGGTACAATATAGCACCAATATGACCATGGATCTTTTGAAATTTCTTTTGGTTATTGCAGTCCCTTGGATAGAGACTTTTGGAATTTTAGTGATTTTGTCCTTTATCTTTGTCTGCTTAGGATGGATTTCCTATGCTGTCTTCTCAAGAAAGCGACGTGGTCACTTGTTCCACTTTGAGTTATTCTCTCCTTGTGCTACCCAGTGTGCTAGCCACCCCCACTTTCATCATCATCCCCACCCCCCATTTCTTTTTGGCATGCCTTTAGAAGTAGAGGCGATAAAACAGCCACCAGAGCTGCATCATTCCAATGAAATGCAGGAGACACCAAGTTTTGAAGAAATAGATCTGTGTGATGACCATGCTCATGTTCAGGAGATAACCACTTCCACAAGTAAAGAAGGTCCTCTGGTCAGATTCACCAGGTTCTGGACCAGGAAAGATGTTAAAAATAACAATACACAAGCTCAAAATGGTGACCCTGTGAATCTCCCACTACATTCATCACAAGATGAATCATCTGTTTAAGCTACATTGAATTGCTTATTCAGGTTTCAGTGATTCAATTGTATAAGCTAAATTGAGCTTCTTTTTTTTCTAAGCTTAATTTAACTTTAAGGATCTAATTATTTCAATGATAGACCAAGTTGGTTTTATGAGTTGTTACATAATTAATTTACACTACTTTAAAGGTTGTACTATGTGTTGGCCAAGTTGATGTTGTTAGCTTAATTTCTCTTGGGATTTAAGAATGGTTTACTACTTGAGCTTTAAAAACTTGCATATGTTGGGTTTCAAGGTTTGCACTTACTATTATTGAACTTGGACCCCAGTGTGTGTTAAGTTGGAGTGAGCTTTAAGGATTAAAATCTTTATAAACTGGGTTTAATGGGTTGTTCTCTTTCTAGGTCTTAGAGCAGTGGTTCTTAACCTTATTTGGCTGCAACCCAAATTCTGGCTGCAAGGCTAGCTCAGTGACCCATGACTTCAAATAGACCCCCTGGCACAGTCACTGGAGAGCCTTGGTGACCCATTTTTGGGTCACAACCGAAGAGTTAAGAACTACTGACGACTTAGAAAATAAAGTGTACGTTCTATGTTAAGCTATATATAAATTTATGTTGTTATTTAATCTTAGTTTGTTGTGCTGTGTAGAGGCTAAGGTAAATTTTAAAGCTTTCAAAGGCTGTTTGTTGATTAAATTAAATTTACCTGTTGAACAGCTTTTCCCCCAGTTGTTATAAGATCATTGGACCATGATTAAAGAAGAACAAGAAGTTACTTTAAAAGTTTAATACTATTATATTTTGTTTAATAATTTATATAGATGACTTTACTTATTTTCATATACAAGGAATTAATGGCAATTTAGTTTCTTGTGATTTTTACAAGTAAAACTTTTTATGTTGTGATAATAAATTTAGTCATGTATGTTATGTTGAAAAGATTTTATAACTTGGCTGATTGTTGATGTGTATGAATAATTCTGGAATAGATACCAAAATCTTCAGAGCTACGCAGAACAAAGGTTATGAGATAGAAAATTTGATCTTCATGTATCAATAATGAACAATTGCTTTTCAACAAGATTTTTTTCTTCTTGTTTCCTAAGATTCATGATTAGAAAAGTTTATTTAAGACCAGTGGAGCTTAACAGCATGAGGCAAAACAGATATAAGATCAAATATTTTAGTTTAGTTTGTTTTATTTCTCCAATTTTACAATAAAAATTGGTGAATAGTTCAGCAACTTGAACGTTTGCCATAAAGATGTAAAGATTCACGTCTGATTATTTTCTTGTGAAGTTAGTGTGACCTTTTTGCCAACTGTATATACTAAAATGTTTATCAATAAATTTTCTGGTATGCAGGGGGTGGGGGACACTTAAATTTATTTAGGTTACTATATGGTGAGTTAAAAAGGACATATAACCCCCATAAATATTAGATACACATTACCATTATAAGAGGCCTAACTATATTTCTTTGATTTGCTAACCCAAGATGTACTGATGAACCTTGAATAAGTGAAACTGCAGTCCACATCAGAGGGTGCAGCAAATCAAAGAATGCATTAGGTCTCTATGTCACAGATTATATTTTCAATTTTACCTTTGTTGTAATGAAAATAAATCTGTAATGTAATCCTTAAACAGTTGGTCCACTGTATAATACAGAATAATATATTAGGCACAATGCCATAATATTATTCACACACCTAAATTAATTTAGGTTACTATATGTTGAGTTAAAATTGACTTATAAAACCTAGTAAATATCTTAGAATGTTTTCTAATAAAGTGAAAACTTAAAACTGGGCAGGATTCAAACTCGCAACTTTGGTAACCAGGAATCTCTGACATGGCCATTTAGCCCATTGTGTGTAGAAGGTGTAGGTTGGATGGACAATGTGTACTTGTTTATGAACTGTATGCAGGTTCAATGGATTTGAATTCTATCTGGTTTTAGATTTCACTTTAGGTAAATTTCTAGCTTCACAGGATGGTTTGCCACTCCCAAAAAAACATTTGTATTGTGACTGTAGTGAGATAATTATACAAGATAGAGATTATCTTAATTAAGAAACTTGGATTCAGAGAGTTTTATTATTACTGCTCTAAGTCACATTTTTTTATATACAGGATATATAGATTATTTGTTGCAATATTTTTTATTTATAAAATATGTTTATAATTTACTATATAACTTGAGATGTAAGTAACTTAAAAGTTCACAGGAAACATTGTCACATATATTTTTGGGTGGTTCTTGATATGTGAGAGTTGAGTGTCATCTTTATATCGAAAAGTTAGCATGTGTTAGCAGCATTTCACAATAAAATGATAATTTTTTACAATGTCAGTCTGGGTAAAAACACAGTTAAGATTTCTTGTCCAGAGTAAACAAAAGTCAAATGCTTTTAATCTCAGAAGTGTATATATATATATAGAATGGAGACAGTATGCATGTTTTGTTTTTAAATTGCTTTTATTGCACATTTAATACTGTTTATAATTTTTGTTTTAGAAACTTTCTTATTGTTAATTTGGAGGTTCTTCTGTATACTGTATTACATTAAACTCATAACTTTTAAGGTGAAAATAACTATAAATTTTTGTATCTTCAGTAATTTAATCAAATATAATTGAAAAAAATAAGAACATGATATTAATACATTTACCTTTTCTAATCACAGATGCAGTTTGTATCCTAGCAAGTGACTTAATCAGTAGTTTGAGTATTCTGAATAAAAAGTAACCTGAGTTATGAATAATGTAGTGTTACAGGTAAGGAAGTATGTGTGTGTATGTGGAGCTTGAAGTCCTGACAGTACATTGATCTCAACATTACAATAACGTGAGCCAATTATTTTGGGCTCAAGCTTCACTCACTTTACTTTACTGTTTCAGAGTTATTACAGTGACAATACAGTAAAAGCCTGACTTTCCACTAGTAACACAAACTGTTACAGTAAAGCATGTTTACACTACCACTCATTCAAATGTTACAGCTTTAAAGATAATGCTAATTACATTGCATGTATTTCTTTATAATTTAAATAGGCAGGTATTAGCATTATTAATATCTGTGCCTAAAGTTACTTGTATCATGCACTAGTGTATAACTACCTATGCATGTACGTCTGTATGTTCACACTAAAGACAAACAAACACTTTGTTGTATCTACATGTATAGTAAATCTTTTGTAAAATATCCTCCAACTATTTAAGTGAAGTATTATTAATTTGCTAGTTTGAAGGTTTCTCAGTAGGTATTTATTATATATATATAAAATTTAAGGTCAACAAGAGACCTTTTGGTCCATCTGGGCCATTCCATCTTCCAAAATAATCATTCAAATATTTATCAAACCTTTCTTTAAACTACCTTAACTTAATTGAATCCACCACATCTGAAGGTAGCCTATTCCAAAGGCCAACAACCCTGTTAGAAAAATAAAGCTTTATTAACTGAAAATGGCTCCTACTCTGTCAATATTTATAGCTGTGTCCACTAGTCCTATCATTCTCACCATGAAATATCACTAGTATTAATTCCCTTAACAATCTTAAACACTTCACTCACATTACGTCTTAAGTCTTTTTAAGAGAAAACAATTCGAGAGATTTTAACCTGCCTTGGTATGGCAACCTATTCATCCTTGGTATCATTCTAGTAGCCCTCCTCTGAACCCTGTCCAACAATTCAATGTCCTTCCTAATATAAGGAGCCCCAGACTGAACACACTAAACTTTGTGTTAAGCTACTCGAGGGCTATCCCTAATATAGAAGGAATAGAACAGAGAGAAAACAGCTAGTTAACATCACTGACCACCAATTTTTGGGCTCCTCTCTATCAACAAATAGTGGAAATGTTCTTCACACTATAACATCCCCATGGCTGAAACAGTGAGCATATTTGATGATGGGATTCAAATCCATGACCCATAAATTGCGAGTCAAGCACCCTAACCAGCAGGCCCTCCTTAAAACCACCATCTCTGGTGGCACTGTATCCATTTGGCCACTAGAAAGTTTCTTTCGCAGAAGAGGCACTGAACCCATATGTGCACAAGGGACAAGTTTCTTGTGAGATCCAACAAAGAGCTCCAAATGTAGTAGCATTATTTGGCTTTTGGTGGGTTCTTTTAAATTATCTGGTGAAATTAATTCAAAGTCCAGTCCATGTAACAATGATAAATTACTTTATTTCCTCCTATAACATTTCTATGAACTTGAAGACAACTGTAAATTGCTGTGGTCTTACTTTGCAAGTAAAATTAGCTAAATGTAAAACAAATCAACTTACTTGTACAAAATATCCATGTTAATCAACACACTGATTGATTCACTCTTATATTTTGAAAAATCACTGTAACTAACCTAACAACACTTCATTTATAATCATAGTTCAAATATACTAGAAAAAATTTGACATCATATCCTTCAAACTTTCTAGCCATTCTAAGCTCTCTAGCTAACAAATTATAACATTAAAAATAAAACTTACAACAACAGTATACTGAAATTATATAAGTAAGTTTGGAAAATAAACACTCAAGTTCTGTATTTCTAATGGTGTGATCATTATGTATATATTAAACCAAAACCAAAAAGGCTAATTCATGGTTATAAGTACCTATTTTAAAAACTACAGGTATAATAATCTTCTTGTGTACTTTTGGAACATCATATAAAATACATGGATGCTGTGATAAGTCTTGCATTAAAATATTGTTCTTGTGTTTTTCTATAAATTTTACTAAATAATCCCGTGGTTTTTGTAGAATCTGTTTACAGCATAATAAACTTTGTTGTATCGTTAACAAAACATATTCAATCTTCACCATAAATATTAGACCATTAAGTTGCAAACTTGTTTTTTTTCTTTTACTTTGGAGCATATTAATTTCATTGTTGTACTTAAGCACACATGTTATTATTTTCATGCCATGTTTTTGATTTTGTTACTAAGGGCAGGCGGAAGTATGGTTTTACTGAAAATGAAGTATTTATGCTGTATGATATTGACAGTGTGTTTGGAAGACATGGATGTGAGATGACATTATGATGTGATCCAAGCTCTCCATACAGTCTGCTTGTTTAACTTATCGTTAACTCTGTTCTACCTACTAACTATGTCTTTTAAGCAAGAGTTCAAATTATCATGAAGTATAAGTATCAAAGTTTGATAAAAGCTGAGGTCCCATGTTTTCAGATGTTTCTGTTTATTACTTGTTTACAATATATCTAATAAAGTAGATCTTAAAAAGTGGTCATAACAAAGACTCTCTAGCTTGAATAATTTTCTTTGTTGGTAGCAATACTAATCTTGAAACCAAACTATCTGTGTCATATTATATTATTATACTGCATATTATCATGTGCTGTGACTGTTGTTTTTTATGTAAGTCACATATTGAAAAGCAGGTGGCTTTCTAGACAAATAAATCTGGAAAGAATTAGCTGATGTAATACTATGGATTACAAATGCATTTTTGATTGTTTGTTTGATTGAAATTAAGCATAAAGCTACACAATGGGCTATCTGTGCTCTGCCCACCATGGGTATCGAAACCCGGTTTTTAGCGTTGTATAATCCGAAGACATACTGCTGTGCCACTGGGGGGCTCCATTTTTGATAATTAAAGATTGAATGATCCCTTTAGTTGAAGGTTTAAACTTTGTAACTTGGGAAAACTTTTCAGCAATATTCAAAACAAGAATTTTGTAATAATATTCCACTTTCCAAAGATTTTAATTTCTGATCAATAAATAAAATAATTTTATTAATCATTTTTATTATATTTCACAAGAGATCACATGCAATTGTATACCTTAGTTATCTCTATTAAAACAAGCAAATTATAAATTTTTAAGCTTACTCTTGTAGCAGAAAGCTTGAACTAAGGCTAACTAAAAAAGATAATTTCTTAAAACACTTTTATAGTTACAACTACCTTATGCTATTATTGTAAAACAGTATTAATGCCATTAAAGCACTTAAGAAGAAAAAATGCTCAAAATATGAATTGTCACTCAGATTTTGATCATTCATATATATATATATATATATATATATATATATATATATAGTAGTAGACAACAAATAGTATAACTTTTAAAATTAACTAAGTAAAAGT